CTCCCTCTGCTCACCTGTCTCCCTCTGCTCACCTGTCTCCCTCTGCTCTTCTGTCTCCCTCTGCTCACCTGTCTCCCTCTGCTCTCCTGTCTCCCTCTGCTCTTCTGTCTCCCTCTGCTCACCTGTCTCCCTCTGCTCTTCTGTCTCCCTCTGCTCTTCTGTCCCTCTCTGCTCTTTGGTCTCTTTTCTCTCCTGCTCTGTCCCCCTCTCCTTTTTGTGTCTCATCCTTCCCCTTCCTCATACAGTGGGCTCTGCCACCCCATCCTTGCTCCCTGTCCCGCGAACTGTTCTCTGGGGTCCTGCAAAGTCTCACCCCAAGTTTCAAACCCCTTCCTCCTGCCTCCCCTCGGGCACCAGAAAAGGAAAGCGTGTTTGCTCCAACTGCCAGCACTCCTGGATAGAAGGTGTCCAAGACAACATGAAGCTCCATAAGGTGCGTACCACCTCCTGTAGGCAGGCCTCCAGACCTTCTCCCCTGGACAACTCCTAAAATAGGAGCCCATCCTCCTGTGCCAAGGTGGGAGTGGGGAAGGGATCCCTCATGGGATCGTCTTTCTTTCCCACAGTACCCTGAGTTGTCTTAAATGAGTTCTCCTGGTGCCTCCTCTATGTGTGAGCCCCGCCCCCACTTAACGTTCCCATCCCCTCTGAGAGATGTTCTGAACATTTCTTTTAAGGTTGCATGGCTTGATAGTCAGGAAGTCTGGATTCAGTTACAGCCATGATGCTACCTATCCATGACCCTATGGTGGTTTTAAGAATGAAAACATACTGGCTGGGCACAGTGGCGCAAGCCTATGATCCCAGCACTTTGGGAGGCTGAGGCAGGCAGATCACTTGAGCCCAAGAGCTCAGCACCAGCCTGGGCAACGTGGCGAAACCCCATCTCTACCAAAAATACAACAATTAGTTGGGCGTGGTGGTATCTACCTGTGGTCCCAGCTACTCAGGAGGCTGAGGTGGGAGGATCACTTGAGCCCAGGAGGCCGAGGGTGCAGTGAGCTGAGACCATTCCACTGCACTCAAGCTTCAGTGACGGAGTGAGACTCTATCTCAAAAAAGAAAATAATCATAATGAAAACATGCTTGCCTTTTGAAAATTCGCCTTCCTATATAGGCCACTTAGAAGAGTTTCTAAAAAAGTAATTCATATTTTTGGCAGGGTGGGGTGGCTCCCACCTTGCAATTCAAGCACGTTGGGAGGCTGAGGTGGGTAGATCACAAGGTCATGAGATTGAGACCATCCTGGCCAACATGGTGAAAATACTATCTCTACTAAAAATACAAAAATTAGCTGGGTATAGTGATGTGGGCCTACAGTTCCAGCTACTCAGGAGGCTGAGGCAGGAGAATCACTTGAACCCGGGAGGTGGAGGTTGCAGTGAGCTGAGATCGTGCCACTGCACTCCAGCCTGGTGACAGAGCAAGACTCCGTCTCAAAAATAAATAAATACATTAAATTAAATTTAAAAAAAAAGTAATTCATGTTTTTCTGGGTATCCTAAGCTAATATTTCAATACACTGTTTGTTGTAAACAATAGAAGGCATTAGAGAAAACCCCAGCCTTGGAGTCGGAAACCTGGTTCTGGTCCCATGCTGCTCTGTGATCTGGGCGTGGCTGCTCACCTCTATGAGCCTTGATTTTTCCCTCTCTTAAATGGGTATGCGAATGTTCCCTGCTTACCTCGGGGTGGTCATATGGGTCCCAGGGGTCGCAGATGTGAACCTCCTGCAATTGAGGGAGACTCAGCCTCTGAACTGAAGGACCTCTCTCCCTAGGTGGACTTTATCTGGATCAGCAGAGACCAATGGTCTCTCGAGTGGTTTGTGAGCCTGCTGACCAAACTGGAGATGGACCAGGCCAAGGAGGCTCAACGTGGTAGGAGAGGGACGGAGCCTGAGGGCAATGGGAACGGCGCAGTGTCTTTAAAAAAAGTAATGTATTGATATGAAACTCACATAACCTAAAATGAACCATTTAACCATTAACGTGAACTGAGTATTGTTTTTTTTGAGACAAGGTCTCCCTCTGTCACCCAAGCTGAAGGGCAGCAGCAGGATCATGGCTCACTGCAGCCTCCACCTTGGAGGCTCCACCCATCCTCCCGCCTCAGCCTCCGGAGTAGCTGGAACCACAGATGCAGGCCAGCACTCCCGCTGATGTTGTTTTAATTTTTGTAGTGATGAAGTCTTCTTATATTGCCCAGGCTAACTCAGAGTCTTTTTGAGAAGGCGTTTATTCCATTTCTGGAGAAGAAGGATGGGCGAGGTTCTGCGAAAACAAGGAGGTTCTACAAAATGTAACATTTCGTAAAGTTGAAAAACAGAAGGAGGAAAAAAAAAATCCCTCATCGACTCATCCAGTCATCCAGACGACACCAGGCATTTTAAAGGGTTCCCTTCCATTTTCTGTTTTCCTATTCACATTTTATAAAAATATATGTCTTTATTTTTGTAATTTATCTTTTTCATGACATATCTTTTAATTCAGAATAGGCACATGTTGAAAATTTAAATTCCTAGGCCTCATCCCAGACCTTCCAAATCAGATAGATTCTCTGAGAGTTGGGCTCAGGAATGTACATTTTAACATGCTCCTCAAACGATTCTTATTCACACTTAATTTGTGTTTGGTTTTTGAAGTATAATTTACATACGATAAAATTTACCAGTTTAAGTGTATAATAAATGACATTTTGACAAATGCATAGAGCAGTGTAACCACCACTGCAATCAAAATATGGACCATTTCTTTCCATTAGTTCTGAAAATTTCCTCATCCTGTTTTGCCGTCAACACCCTCCCCTGACTCATAACCCCTGCAACCACTGGTCTGCTTTCTATCACTATAATTTTGCCTTTTATAGAATTTTATATCAATGGAATCATATAATATGTAGTCTGTTCCATCTGCCTTCTTTCACTTAGCATAATGCCTTCGAGATGTATCCGTGTTGCTGTATGTGTCGATAAGTCATTCGTTCCTTTTCATTGCTGAGTAGTATTCTGTTTCATGCGTATACCACCATTGTCCAATTATCTTTGAAAAAGAAATTTTAAAATCAGAAGAACACATTTTTTATTTTTGTAGATGTCTTTAGCATTTCTGGGTTCTTTTCACTTTTTGTGCCTAGATCTGGATTTCTGTCTGGTAAAGTTTTCCTTCTGCTTGAAGAGCTGATGGTTCTTTGTAGTGCAGGTCTGCTGGTGAGAAATTTTTTTGGCTTTCGACTGCAAACACCTTGTCTCACCTTGTAAGACCCTGTCTCAAAAAAAAAAGGTTTGAATGTCCTCCCCTCAACCCCTCCAAACCCCCCTCCTCACTGCCCAGGTGTTTCCTGTGTTCTCGTTTTTTACTAAGCATTTATTCTCATCATTAGTCCTGAAAATTTGTATGGACTAAGTATGATGTGATGGAGCTAAGTATGATAAAATGTTTCTCTGAGTCATATCACGGGACATCTTTGTGGAATACTGAGGGTTTACACTGTATTTAAAAGTTAATCTATTAAAATTATTGTTTTGTTTATAATTTATACAAGGAGAAATATCTTTGGATATGTTTCTAACTTTTTAAGAGAATTGGTGTAGTGTTTTAGACTTGTTGAGTTCATTAGAACTAGATTGTATTTGACTCTTTAATAATCAGGTTGTCATGAGTAAATTCAAATTCCAATGATAAGCAGTTTATATGTTCAAGTAATCAAACATAGTTTTCTACAAGAAACTATCCAAACAGATATAGTTTACCATAATAAACATTCAGAGGCTTAAAGTTCAAGTCAACAGTCTTTGGAAGATAACTCTTCAAGCTTAGAATAGTTCAGTAAAGCTCCCTGCCCTTTCTTGTAAATAACAATTACAGCAAATATTTGTATAGCATTGACTTCTTTTTTCTAAATGCTTTTACATATACTAATTCATTAGGACCTCAATTTTGTGATGACAAGCTAAAGGAAAAGTTTAAATTTAATTTAAATTTTCTAGTTACTGGCACATAAATATTTGCTGTTTGCTTCTTCCTAATCTGTATACACAAAGGGCAATAGCTAACCCAGTGCTCTGCATTCCCAAAGCCACTTGAGTCAACAACTCCATCACATCAAATTTCTTTCAGGGTTTCTCATTACCTGCAGCTGAAATTCATGGCTTCTGATTTCCACTTTAATTATACGTCAGAGTTTGCATTAAATAATTTTTGGTTTATAATTTTCAGTTTCTATAGCTTCAGCATCAATGATTCTGAGTTTTTATCTTTAGCCTGAATAGCTATAGGACCTTGGGCACATTATTTCACTGCTTTGCCTCGAAAACGGTTATCTGAAAAAAATGGACGCTGCTAGTACCCACCTCGTAGGATCATAATGGGAATCAGATGAGATGTCCTCTGCGGAACAGTAGCACAGTGACTGGAGCTTAATAAACTGCTAGATAAATTTAGTGCCGGTGGTAATAGTAACTGCTTAATAAATTTGTTAGTAATAGAAGCGCTAGTAGTAATAACTGTTTAATAAAAGGAATAGTAGTATTTAATGGCTATATAATGAATGGTATAGTCAGTGGTCATACCATAAATTATTTAACCAAGCTCCTACCGCTGAACATTTTGTTTATTCTGAATTCTCCATAATCCTAAAAAAAAAACACTGAAATTAACATATTTGTGCACATAGTACTTTTCCCTGCTTTGGATGGTTTTCTTAGGAAAGCGTCCCAGAAATGAGATGGCTGTCTCAAACACAGCTGGGTAGAGAGGGTGAGACCATGCCAGATCCTTCCACAGCCCCTTTATCTTCTCCCTCCCACCATGGTGTCTCCCCTTCTCTCTTCTTACCCCTCTCTGGAGTAGGGAGACTCTGAGGGAGGGTAGGAAGGGGCGGGGTTCCCCCAGGTGGGCATCTCATAATACATCTCCCTCTCTCATGTGACATGAAATGTGCTATCCCTCCCAGGGCCATTTGCATTGCAACAGCCGCTGAGACCTTAGGCCAAATGAAAGATGGCTGATAGTGACATAGGAAAGGGTAGAGAGCACGTTGGAATGGCAAAGCTCCTTTCGTCTGGGTGTAGGGGAAGAGAGGGAGAGAGGGATGAGGTGATCCTCAGCTCAGGAATGCTCCTTCCCACATCCTAAATCAGGGCCTGCCAACTCTGGCTTGAACCCACACACAAGCCCAAGGCAGCACTCACCAATCTTTTTCTCATCATGGCACACATAAAAATGACAACATTCGTCTGTCACGTCTGGATATGGCACGCAGAGGTGCCCATGTGGGAGCTGTGGAGTGCTGAAGGATCAGTATCCCAGCAGGCTAGAATTTCGCGCTGCAGAACTGCAGGTGCTCTGACCTCGTGGGCTCCTTGGTGCCAGGCTCCTCCCCTGTCTCTTCAGCCCTCCCATGCCCTTTCCCGAAGCTCTGTTTCACTATGTCACTCCCTACTCAGTTACTGTCAACCCTCCCCCTTTCCTAGCCGGGCATTCAAGACCCTTCTTATTCTGGCCTCCCCCTGTTTCCAGTCCCATCTCCTTTCGCTCCCATCTGAGGATGCGGCTCCAGCCGGGCACCACACCCTGCCCCGTGAACATCGTGAACGTCGCATTTGTTCCAGCCTCTCACTCTGTGCTGACACTAGTCCTTAGCATGCATTCCCTTCACCTTTGCTTTTACTTTTGCCCTTCGTCCCACACCTAACCCAGCCCCCGTCCCTTCCGGGAAGCAGCCCTGTCTGCCTCAGCCCTTCCCTGCATATCAGTAGCCTTCACGTTCTGATCCATTTACTCGACCCTTGACCCTTTAGTCTAAATTACTTTCCATGTGTGTGTGGTTTTTTGTCCCCAGCCAGGCTGAGGACAGACATGTGAGGCACGTAAGGGTATGAGCTTTGGAGCCCAGGGACTGCCATGGTCACTGCCCTAGGATGCATTTCTCCTTCTATAAATACAAAAAGTCTTGGCTGGGCACAGTGGCTCATACCTGTAATCCCAGTGCTTTGGGAGGCTGAGGCAGGTAGATCACTTGAGTCCAGGAGTACAAGGCCAGCCTGAGCAACATAGTGAAACCCTGTCTGTACAAAAATACTAAATAAATAGATATAAAAGGCCTAACTCTTGGAGTGGTTGTAAGGCTCACCTTAGTGTATATAAAGTAACTAATGTGTGCCATGCACATAGTAGGCCCAGCTCAAGCAACAGACTGCCTTTCCTCTCCTTGGCACTGGTCACATGACACAGCCTGGGCAAACACTGTTGGCTGATGGTGTGAGTTCCAAGATCTATGGGTCTCCTTCTGAGCCCCAGGGTAAGGTAGTGACCGGCATCCTGCCCTGCGCCCATCACGGGCGCTAGACCCTCAGTTCAGCCCTTGTCTCCTGCCCAACAGGTTGCTTCCTGGAGTTGCACATGTACATGACATCTGCACTGGACAAGAATGACATGAAGGTCATTGGCCTGCAGATGGCCCTTGACCTCCTGGCCAAGAAGGAAAAGAAAGACTCCATCACGGGGCTGCAGACGCGCACCCAGCCTGGGTGGCCTGACTGGCACAAGGTAATGCCAGCTGTGAGCCCTGCAGCCTGCAGGTATGGGTGAAGCTGAGAGCCTGAGGCAGTGATTGGGAGATGAGCCAAGCAGCCAGGGGCAAAGTGTGAGGTTACAGTCCAGAGTCCAGACGGGGCCTCCTGGTGCAAAAGGTGAACAGGGCACCCACACTGGCTTCATCACTAGCCTTTATTCTGTCATTAGCCTCAGGTTCCCCTTCTGTTCAGAGAGGAAGTTAGTCTCTATGACCTCAAAGACCCCTGCAGCCTTAACTCCCTATGGACCAGTGTCAGAAGGCCTGAGCAGACAGGGACCTGGAAAAACACCAAATCTTATCCTCTCCCGTTACAAATGGGGAAACTGAGGTTCAGAGACATGAAATTATTTGCAAATCTTTTAATTTTATTTCTCAGATTGGTTTTATGATTATTTTTCTTCCCTGGACACTTACCTGTCAGGGTATACAGTTTACAGGAAGTGACCCAGAAGGTACTGCTTTTAAAAGTGCTGCAGATGACCCTATACCTGGATCACGACACCTGAGTGGGAGGGGAAGGTCAGTGATGAGTGCTTGGACATCAAAGAGGACTTTCTTTTTTTTTTTGAGACGAAGTCTTGTTCTGTCAACCAGGCTTGAGAGCAGTGGCGTGATCTTGGCTCACTGCAACCTCTGCCTCTCGAGTTCAAGCAATTCTCCTGCCTCAGCCTCCAAATAGCTGGGAGTACTCGCCCGCCACCATGCCTCGCTAATTTTTGTATATACATGTATATATTTGTAGAGATGGGGTTTCACCTTATTGGCCAGGCTGGTCTCAAACTCCTGACCTCATGATCCACCCTCCTTGGCCTCCCAAAGTGCTGGAATTACAGGCGTGAGCCACAAGGCCCAGCTTTAAAGAGAACTTTCAGAGAAAGGCAATTTGTAAGAGGAATTTGGGGTAGAAAAGGGTCGTCACTGGGGGAAAAGACTGACGTCAGGAAAGATACTTAAATCACAGCAGGTGGCCAGCCCTGGACTACCACCAGGTTCCATCTGCCCATGGGAGCCTCAGAGCACCGTATGCTTCTCTGCCTGTCTGATTTAGTGCCTGTCTCCCACAGTTGCAGATCCTTGAGTGGACGGCCTGGGTCTTGTTTATTTCTGGCCCTGGTCCTTTACGTGGGGTTCTGGGTCATGTTGCCAGTCAAACAAATGGCTCTTTTTGGAGACGGAGTCTCACTCTGTCACCCAGGTTGGAGTGCAATGGTGCCATCTTGGCTCACTGCAACCTCTGCCTCCTGGGTTCAAGCGATTCTCCTGTCTCCATCTCCCGAGTAGCTGGGACTACAGGTGTCCAGCAACCATACCTGGCCAAGTTTTGTATTTTTAGTAGAGACAGAGTTTCATCATATTGGCCAGGCTGGTCTCAAACTCCTGACCTTGTGATCCGCCTGCCTTGGCCTCCCAAAGTGCTGTGATTACAGGCGTGAGCCACGGTGCCCAGCTGAACAAATGGCTCTTAATTGAACGGCTGAGTGTCAAACTCTGCTGTAAAACCCAGAAGCTATGCCATGCAGCTCTTTGTGTAAAATAGGGACACTCATTGCTGCTGACCAGTTATGCCGTTACCTCCAGGCGGCTGTGTCACTGGTGAGTCAGCAGCCCCACCTATCCTCCTTCTTCTTTTCCCCATCCCCACTGACTGCTGCTGAGAAGAAGGGCAAGGTGCAGGTCTTCTTCTGTGGCTCTCCAGCTCTGGCCAAGGTGCTCACAGGCCATTGCGAGAAGTTCGGCTTCAAATTTTTCCAAGAGAATTTCTAGACTCACCTCTCCAAGCTCTCCCCCAAATCCACACCATGGGTCTGCTTCATCGCATTAGTATAAGTGCCCCCACGGGGACCAGCTCAGACAACTCACCCAATAAGACAAAGCCCAGGGATTGTCTAATCCTGCTCAACACGGAGAACAGGAGACCCCAAGGGGCAGATGAAATTCTTCTAGAACTCAGGGGAAGGGACAGTGCCTTGTTCAGTCTGCTGTGCATTCCTGGGTTGCTGTGAAACTGAGGAAACCAGAGGCTGGTGGCTGGAGCATGGGGATGGGGCTCGAGGGGGCAGAGGGCAGCCACTCCTCCAAAAGTTTTCCGAGGGAGGCTTCTCCTACATCCGTGGTCTCAGACCTGCCCAATCATCACAGTCAGTTGGAAGCGTGTTTCTCTGGCATCTTGCCAAGTCGTTCAAACAAAGTGAGAAGAATCATACAGTGAACAGCGTTACCTGCCTTCCAAACTCCTCAGTTAAGATTTTGCTCTGTTTATCACCTATTATCCATCAGCTCCTCCTCCCTCTTCCATCTGTCAATTTATCTGGTTTTTTGGGTGCATTTTTAAGTTAGGTGCAGATATCTCGGCACCCCTTGCCACTTGGAGGAGCCTTCTTTAAATGCACGTTCCTTGGTCCCGCTCCAGAAATTCTGATTCTGACAATCTGGGTATGAAACCTGGAATATGTATGTATGCAAAGTCCATTTGCATAGGGAGAAATAAGCAGCATCTTTCCCTGCCCCTCCTTGTGTCTTTGTCTTCCCATCTCCCTCCCTGTCCGGGTGCATCCCTCCAGGCCTCTCTGGGCTCTGTACATTGGCCTCTTCCTTCTCTCTGTGTGCTGAGTTGCTTGAGAACCAGGATGGAGGCAGCCTCTTTATGTGCCTCTCTGTGTTATGGAAAGGCCAAATGCTTGGGGATGAAGCAGGCTAAGCCTGGAAGCTCAGCTCAGCCACACCCTGGTCACCCTGGCTGTGTGACCCTGGAAGCCTCCCCACGTGTTTTTTCATCTGTGAAATGGGCTGATGCCATCCCTTGGTCACAGTTGCTGTGAGGTGAAATGAGACATCAAGTGTTCGACATTCCTCCGCCACTGTGGTGCAGCTCCTTGCTGTACCAGGCTTTCGTGCGTCTGCATCACTTCTCTTCACCCTGGCTCCCTCTGTCTCTGTGTACCAGCCTCTGTTTGCATCTGACCCTGTTTGGGCAGGAGGGAACGGCAGAGGCAGCAAAGGCTCTGTCAGCACATGCTGCGGGGAGGAGCGGCCGTGGGCAGAGGGCAGGGTGGGCCTCACCTCCTCCATCTGAGCTGGGTATTTCCATCTGCGCTACACTGTGAGCCCCTGTGAACCCCAGATTTCTTGGGCATCCTCCACCTGGCAGTCAGTCCTGCTAGGTTCTCTTCTTGACAGCGTAAAGCACCTTTCCCCAAGGCTGCCATCATGGGGTTGGAACCAGGCACATTCCAATGGGATTGTAGCCGGCACTTTTTTTTCCCAAGGGTTGGAAGTCCATGGTGGGGGAAGGGGAGGTGAAGAAGCCGGATCATAACCTGGATGATGACGTCCCTTATCTAAGGTGGGGCTGGGATGCAGTAGACAGGGGGGTGACGTGCAGGGGATGAGCCAGTTGGGCGGATGGAAGGAGGAGGGTGGGGGAGACTCTCTTCTGAAAGGAGTGATGAGGAAGAAGCTGAGGCAGGCTGGGAGGGCAAAAATACCCTGGGGACTGACACAGACCAGGATGGGAGTGAGGATGTCATCTTTAAGATTCGAGGAGGAACGGGAAGAAGAATCTGAGAGGAGGAGGAGGGCCTGGCTGCCAGCTCTGCAGTGAAGGAGAGGCTCATGGTGTGGGTGGGTGGAAAGCAGGAACCAGGCTGGCACCGAGTCTCCATCTCCCAGGACCGGGAGTCAGCAAGGCCAGGAGACCTGGCGTAGGGGCCTTCCAACCGGATCGTATTTAATTTCCAGCAAGCCTGGGGAGGCACACGACTCACCCGGGAAACTCACACCTGGGGTTTTACCAGCCTGAGGCCACACACTCTTGGAACCCTTTCCCTCTGTTGAGTCCGTACTTTCCCCTCTTCACCAGGCTTGTGAAGGCTTGGACAAAACTCTCCGGAGCACGGAAGGAAACTAAAGAGGGCGTCCTGACTTAAGGCTGGAGGACGTAAAGAGGGTGTGCCAAAATCATTCGGAAACGTGGCAGAGTCTGTTTAGCACAGGACTTCTCACACATGCACTTGCACACACACATGTCACCATTTTGCATTCTTTCTAGTCGCTGTCCACACCGCCTTCCACCCTTGAGCCCCATCCTCAGTCCTTTGCTCTCTCCTAACAGATTTCCACCAGGGTCCAACCCGTATATACAAATAACCAGATGTTCGTTTAGGACTTCATATCACAGTGGGTGGGAGCAGGTGGAAGAGCTTGAATATACGATTCTAAAATCCATGAATGCACACGTGTGACTTATGACCACTTACCCACGTCCTGAGGTTTCCTCTCCAGACAGATTCCAGTTGCCCACGAGAGGGCGCTGCAGAATCAGGGATCTCAGGAGGGTTTGTTTCCCAGGAAGTGAGACTGTTGCCTGAGTGGCCGTGAATAAAAAAGGGAAAGGGTCCAGGAAGACAGCACCCTGTTCCAAAGCTCCCCACCAGAGGCAAGCCCTCCAGGCTCCATCTCTGTGAAGTCAAGAGACTTCATGTTCAACGTCAGTTTCTCTAGCTGTCAGCTCCTCACCACCGCTGCCTTCCCCCCAAAACTGTACCCTCCCCATACCCAGTGTCCAGTTCTGGGCTTTCCTCTTTTCTCCTTGCAACAAAACGTTCATTGGTGAGGTCAAGTTGAGCTGACCAGTCCTGGCTGGGGGAGAAGCAGCCAGGACTGGTCCAGGCTCTGCATGCCCCAGTGGACATGTCATGGAAGGCGGCAGGACAACATATGTGAGTGTACAGCATGTGTGATCTGACAATTTGCATGTTTCCCAGATGTGCAGATGGGCATCCTCGGCCATCAATGGGAAAATGCATCCGGAGGGCTGGCTGACTTTTCTCCTTTCACCAGATGTTGGCAATGCTGTAGACACATCTGGACCCACAACAGATAAAGCTGACACACACAAAGAGAAGAGAGAAGAAGCACAGGCAGGTTATCAGCACATGTGCCCGTCCTCCCCCATCCAGCTGCAAACTCCCCAAGGCCAGACAGGTGGACCCGAAGCTTAGCACAGAGTGTAGACGGGATGTCGGTTCCTGGCAGGGGAAGGGGTTACATAAATGGAATTATCTTCACAAAGGGTCTTTGGCATCTAATTGTCATTTGTAATTTGGGGAACAAAAGCACAAACACAAGCCCACTGAACCACTTTGCCAGGCGCCACTGCACTGTTCTGTGAGGGCAGCGCTGACAGAGATGGCAGGCATTCCTGAAATGAGCCATCAGGAGGGGCCCGCCCAGTGGAGCGGAGCAGCACAAGTGCAGGCTGGTAATACACTGAGCCAGGGGCATTTGTGGGAGGGGAGGGGGCGTGGACAACATGGAGAAGAGTCACCAGGCTGTCAGACAAGGTCGAAGGCAGGGAGGAATGAGGAACATTAGCTGAGTCTGGCTCTGGGCCAACCTGTTGGAGATGCAGTGGAGGAACCTTGGCCCTCTGGAAGGTGGGGCACCAAGCTCTACACTTGCCTCTGCCCCGGTCTACTGTGTGACCTTGGGTGTGCCATTTGACCTCTCTGAGTTCTGTCTTATTATAAAGTGTACAGATCAAGTATGCAGTGTTTAAGCGCTTGTATATGCATTTACAGTCATCGTTTCTAAAAGGATACATGAAAATATATTTATCTGTGTGCTCTGGGGAGTGGGAATGGAGGGATACAATGAAGAAAAGGATTTTGTTTTTGTTTTTACTTTTTGCCCTTCTGTGAACTTTAAGTTTTTATTCATTTTATAGTTTTATTTTAAAAAGAAACTCAAAGTAGCATATCATGTAAAAGAAATAAGTACCAAGTGTTTTATATGATCCTATTTATAGCACAGAAAATAAAGGAGATATACATATACATAATCATATGTACGCAATGTGAGGATAAGTAGATAAAAATACATGGAAAGAGAGTTAGAAGTCAGCCCTTCTCATCTTGGGCCCAGCATTGCCAACATCTGGTGAAAGGAGAAAGGCCAGCCAGCTGTCCGGATGAGTTTTCCTGTTGATGGCCGGCGATGCCCAAATGCCAAGCAGTTCTCAGTGGTTAACTGTGGAGGAGGCAGAGGAAGACTTGAATGGTTTCCCCTTGTATGTTTCCTGTATTTGTGTATTACCTGTGTAAGGTTTCACTTCCTGTATTACTTCTGTGATATTTTTCTGTGATATTTTGCTTTTTAATTTATGTACTTTTGCATGGCTTGTATCTATTTGTTAAGAGTAAAACAGGCTGGGCATGGTGGCTCATGCCTGTAATCCCAGCACTTTGGGAGGCCAAGGCGGGCGGATCACGAGGTCAAGAGATGGAGACCATCCTGGCCAACATGGTGAAACCCCGTCTTTACTGAAAATACAAAAAAAAATTAGCTGGGTGTGGTGGCACGTGCCTATAGTCCCAGCTGCTCGGGAGGCTGAGGCAGGAGAACTGCTTGAACCCAGGAGGCAGAGGTTGCAGTGAGCCGAGATCACACCACTTCACCACTTCACTCCAGCCTGGTGCCTGGCGACGGAGCGAGACTCTGTCTCAAAAAAAAAAAAAAAAAAAGAGTAAAACAAAATGCAGAGATTATCTGCAGTGTTGTCTAAGATCCTGACCACTGATTTGTTTTCAAGTGAAAGTATTTCAGACCTAAGCCAAGGAACTGGCCCTCCACATCAGAGGTCACTCCCTGGCCTCTTCAAAAAAGGAGACTGCTACAGTGCCCATTATCAATATGCAAAGCTGCTGGCCCGAATGGCCTAAGTATTAAAGTAAAAGGTTCTGTCAAGGCCCAAAGCTAGTCCAGAAGGACTGTGGAGACCAGGGGCATACATGTGAAATTGTGCGCACAGGGGCTAAGCCCAGCACCTGCCCAGCCTGGGAGTCCAGATGCCGCAGGCACGCTGTCTGTGCTGAACAAATACTCATATCAACCAGCCTTCCTGATAGATTGATGCACCTTTTTATGATCTGTCTTTACAATATGATGACTCTCTCCTTTTAAAAATAAGATTAATTCAGACAAGACATTTATTTTACGAGGAAATTCATCCCAGGGGGGAAAATGCTCAAGCGGAATTGCAGACATGGCTGGAAAGAGACTTGACTCTCAAGAAAGCTTCCAGCCTCCAACCTTAGCCACCCAGCCATGGCCCCAAAGGGGCTGCCCTGATACTATTCAGGGACAAATGGGCCATCTTTAACTACCCTAGCTGTGTGAATGTAGCCTGTTGGAGAAAAAAGAAAGAAAGGTAGTGAGTTTTAGTGTGGCAGGGGAGAAAAGGATGCATTTTTGGTAAAGGAAAAAAAAAAATTCTGAGATTTACCCAAATTTGGCTGGACATGAGTTTATACATACAGATTAAGCTTGTCTTTAAATAACCCTAAAGAATGTTCAAGAACAGTGAATGATTTATCTCTGTGACCCCAGTGACTAGAATAGTGCCACCGCCTTGTGGGTGCTTGCAGTGTTTCATGGATGTTTCCAGTGCTGTGATCCGTTTCAGCTGGTGACCCCATGAGGTACCCTTGACTCCTCTATCTCCCCATCTTCCTCCTTCAGCCAATCAGCAAGCCTGTCAACATGGCCTAAATGCTTCTCAAACTGCTTTCCTTCCCCCTTGGCCCTGCCTTGGTTCAGCCCTTAAATTGCCTTTTGCCTGGACTGGTGCAGCAGAGCCAGGCTGGAGAAAGGAAGACCAGTTAGCTGGAATGGAAGCTGGGAATACCAGCCGGCTAACTGAGGTAACTTTTCCAGCCTGGCTCTGATCCATCCTCCACACACTGCTGAGGGTCTGACTGCACCCCTTCTTTCTGGATGACTCGCCTACTACAGTCACCAAACTCCTGAGTCTGGTACACGTTGCACAAGCCCTGCCCCACATAAGCCCTGGATGAAGATCGGCTACCATTGCCGCCATTATTACCCGGCCTTTGCCTACCTCTCAGGTCTTGGCAGTGTCCACCTTGCTCTTTGTACCTTAAATAACATCATTGCGCGCTCCCCCAGGACACCGTGCAGGTTCGAACCTCCAAGTCTTTCCTTCTGCATTGCCTGACACTTGGAGCACCCTTCCCCACTCTCAGATTGAGATTTCAGAACACTCGATCACCAGCCTATCTGTGAAGACTTCCTTGCCGGTCCCACCCATGGCAAAATAAACAGCCTCCTCCATATGATTGTACAGTAGGTACCTACTTGTACCTACACATGGATGGCACAGTATTGCATTTGCCTGCTTCTTTGTCTGTGAACTCCTTGTGGGTTTTGTCTCCCCAGTGCCTGGTGATCAGAGTAAGTGTTGGGGAGCTGCTGTGACTCCTTTGAGCCTTCATCTCTTTCCTTTCCTTACCTTCTCTGCTGGTCCTGTTTGCCTGCATCCCACCATCCCTGCAGGCAAACAGGACCAGTGGTACAGGTGGGTAGAGCAGGCAGCTGGCTTTCAGGGTACACCTTTAGGGGCCCTAGAAAGATCCCGCCTCCCCCCAGCTCTAGATCTCCCACACGTTTTCATTCCATAGCCAGGGAGCAGGTCGAACTTGCAAACCCTACAAATCCACTGGCAGAGGGGCACTCCACCTTAAAGTCACACTAAGATGGGACAGGCTGGTGACAGAGCTGCTCCCAGCTCCCTCTTCGCATAATTGAGGAGGTGGGGCTCATGGTCTCTGGTTCCTCTGTGCTGCCTCCTCCTTCTCTTCCTCGTTCTTCTCCCTCTTTCTTCTTCTAACTCAAAAGAGATGAATGACTTAGAAAGCAAATGAATCAGAGATAGGGAAAGCAGAAAGAGAGGGTAATTTTGCCAAGTTATTATTCAAAGGACCTCTCTGGGACTGAGAGCAAGAGTGGTCCCATCAATCACCCAGCAGAATGGGGCAGGCGGGGGACACAGCGCTTGGTGTCTGTGGATAGCTGTATGTGTGAGCAACCAGGCCAGGAGTCTGGGGCCCTTGCCAAATGTCACGGAGGAAAGAGGCCAGAGGGACACTAAATGGGAACAGTTAGCTCAAAGGCCTGAGAGGACTTCACTGACCTGCTTTACTCAACAGGCCAGAGCCCCTGAAAGCCCCATTCTAGGGCGGCCAAGAGTGGGAGGAAGGAGATGCGGCTGGCAGGGGCGTGGCAGGAGCCTGTTCTCCCCAAGGCTTTGCTACCCTGAGGAAAGAAGCCGCTGCCTCTTTTGATCAGTTGGGGATCCAAGCCATACTCATTCCTGTATTCCAGGACTTAGCCCAGTGAACACATTTTGAATGAACGAATGAATGAATGACAAAATTATTACAGCACATTGTTTCGCTTAGTTTTTAAAATTACCTTAAATCTTATCTTACCATAATTTTTATGCATAGGTTATCCCTGCTTGTTAAATTGTAATTACAGTCTACTTGGAGAGTAGGAACTAGATCTGATTCCTCTCTGTTCGCAAGTTTGGCCCATAAGAGGCATTTGAAAACAGTGTGAAGGGAAGGGGGCGGGATGGAAGGGCAGAGCCTCTTAAATGGTGTCAGAGCCACAGTCTATTCCCTGAGTCCTGTTAAGCTATTGTCTGGGCGATTGTTGGCCCTGGGCTCCATGTTAGAGCACATCGTGGTGCTAAGCAGACAAGTTTCTTGAATTCCTATCACTCAAAGTGCTGGGGTTCAACAATGAGCAGAAAAATCAAGATCCCTGCTCTGAGTTTTCTCACCTGTAAAATGGGGATGATGAATGAATGTACAAGAGGTGTTTGTTTAGCGCGGCATGCGGCAGGTGTATATTTCAATCAGTGTTGGCTGTCATCATCCTCATCACAATTACATTCTATGGAGGCGGGCAGGCAGAGACCAAGTAAACGGATGAATAAACAATGACACTGCAGAGAGTTAAGTGCTCTGAGAAAATTAAAAAGGGAAGTGGCAGAGAGTACATGCAGAGAGGAGTGTGGGTACTGGGAATCAAGGCCCTGGGGCGCACATGCCAGGAGCTGTGTGATAACAGGAAGTCATGAAATGCTTGGGGTTTTAGTTCTGTAAGGCCAGGGCAGTGATGCCCCCCTCACCATGGGGAGTGTGTGCGTGGGGGGGGGTGTGTGTGAGAATGTATGTGAGTGCATGTCTGTGCTCATGGGTGTGAGTGTGTGCTTTTTGGGAGGAGGTAGAGAATTGGATAAGGTAACAACTGGGAATGACCAGCGCTGGGGCACAGAGAAAGGTTTAATAAATGCTGATCATTGTTCCTGCCTATGACAAGCCTCGATAGATGCTAATTCAGTGATAATGTGATTTGGAAATTTTCCAGATGTGAGCACTTTCTCAGGGAAATGTTATTCAGCGGTGGGGTCGCCATGGGTTCCCCACTTTGCGTGTGCCCCTCCCCAACCCCACTGCCACCTAGAGGTCTCTGCAGCCCCTCATCTTCATGTCCTTTGTGACCAAGCCAGATTTGGAGGCCTAATAAATATGCCTTCCCCTCCCAGGAGGACCATCAGGCTACAGGATGGGGGAGAGCGCCCGGCGGCAGTGCCCCTCCCTGTGTCCTTCTCCAAACGCTGATGATCCCGGGCTGCAAGAGGCGGTGGAGATCAAATTGCAGCCCCTCCAGCTCATTAGTGCTGCATTATGAATTCCGGGGATAAAGTGTGTGCTTTCCTCTCCTGATTGCTGCTGAAATCTCCTGCCTGTTTATCAAATCCGAGCCATGCTCCACAGCCCTCTGCTCCTTGCCTCTGGGCTCCTCTTCTCTGGAGGAGGAAAAAGGAAAGGCTCCCGGGGGATTCCAGTTCTAGTGAAGAGGACGATGGTGACAGTGAGCAGGAAATAAGGTTGGCTTTAGGGGCAGAGGGCAGAAGGCTTCATAAAAAGCACCTGACCCCCCCACCCAGGGCCGCACTGAGGCTAAACTCCCAGGGAGGAAGGCCCTACTAAATCAGCTGAGACCTACTCTGTCACCATTAGAGAATCACTCATTCATTCTTTCACCCCACAGGCACTGACTGAGTGTCTGCCTCATGTCAGGCACTGTGCCAGGCAACAAGGATACCAAGATGAAGCACTTGCGTGAGAGAGAAACACACGTGGTGCCGATATAAGGGGCAGATGCCAGCACAGTCCTCATGACATGCTGGGGCATCATGAAAGAGAGAGGAAGCAAGGTCAGGGTGGGGGCAAGATGACCCCAGGCGGTGGTCTCAAAGGAGGAATGGGACTTCACCAGCTGGAAAGCAGGGAGGGGGAGGGTATATTTGTGCACATGAGTCCTGGCACCTGAAAAGACTGGGTGGTCCCATCGTCTGATGGAACCAGACACGCCCTTGCTTTCACACCTTTTAGTGGGATGGGGCTGGGCCTGGACCTCATGGGACAGCAGCTTTAGCAGCTGTGAGCAGGGCGTGTTCCCTAGAAGGAGCGTGGGCAGGACAGGCAGGGAAAGTGACTATGACAATGACCGCTGTGAACCGTGCTTTCGGTTGCCACCAGGTCCCTTTTCACTTCCTCTGCGCACAGGTTGTTTCAGATGCCTGCGTGTCATCTGCTGCCAGTCTGAAAGCCCCCGAGGCTGGACCCTTCCTTCCCTCTTCACATGTCCTACTTGCAAAGACCGCAGGAAACCGCAACCACACAACAAGGACTTCTTGCCGTATCTTGGATTGCTTCAATGCCATTTTACAATCATTTCACGATTTCCTTGCTATTTGCAATGATATATTTGCCATGGAATGTTTAACTTCTCTAGTGTCTGCTTCCCCTGCAAACACAGAGACAGCCCGACCCCCTGACTACCTGCTAACTTCCTTCTCCCTTGCACGCTGAACCCTTGTTCTCGGCAGCCCCAGGTGATAAACAGTGACCAGATTAACAGTGAAGATTCTGAGGTAGCCACAGGCCTGGCCCTCCAGTGATGGTAAGGGAGGATCTGCTGGGGATTCCGGGGAAGCTTTTGCTCTTCTGCTAAAAGGAACAAGAGAGACTGGTGCCATCTCTTTCTCCTGTTTCCTGTCTTGACTGAGATTCCTGGACATCCTCGAGATTCCTGGACATCACCTGTGCCCATGAGGCAGAAGCCCCAGGCATTCAGGACAGTGACCAGGCCCTGCCCTATCCCAGGCTGCCCTCTTGCTCTATGAGGGCAAGAAGTTTGCTTTTCTCTCTGCTGTTTCCAGCTCCTAGAGCAGCGCCTGGTATGTGGTGGCCATTCAATCATCCTTTGTAGATTGAGGGAAGGTCTACATCGCTTAGGCCCCTGTTAGCAGGGAGTTCTGTTCCTTACAACTGAACATATGCCTAACTCAGTGACTGTGAAAAACAATAACAGTGTGTGCTAAGATTACAATGGCGTCAACTGGGTAGAATCACAAAGTAAGGTACCATCCTAAAATCTGAAGAAAGATGCTGCCATGAGCCACCTGGCTTCCTGAGCCCTCAGTCCTTCTCTGCCCAGAGCTGGAACCACTTGCCCCGTGCCCCCTCCAGTTTGCACTGGCACCAGTGTTCCTCAGGGGACAGGCAGAATGGCCCATTTTCCTGTGAGTCCATGTTTCATAGTACAGGTCCTCCCCTTCTGGCCTTGCCCTGACTCCCTGAGCTGAGGATTCAAGCACAACCCAGATCTTCCCAGGCAGGAGAGCTTCAAAGCCCCACCAAACACAGGAAGGGAGAAAAGCAAAGCAGGGAAAACCCCGGAGTCATTCCAGCCCTTGGCTACAGCCTCGCTTTATTCCAGGTGTGAGCTATTAACCTGCTCATTACCAACCAGTTAGCTCTGGTCTGGGCTATGCTTCCCTAGCTTAAGTCTCTGCTCCTCATCAGCCACACAGAGGGGCCCTTATAACCCCTGTCCATTGGGGTGATACGGTTCTTGGGGGAGACCTCAAAGGGTCTTCTATAAACAGGTTGTACACATCTTTCTGAGCCCCCTGCAATGAGTGCTGAAGAGGAAGTTCCCCCCCACCCCAGAGACTCCACAATCAGGGGTATTTATAAAGGGATTATGCTGCCGTTTGCAAGTTACGTTTTCACCAAACAGAATGAAGACCATGAAATAACCAGCTTTCCTGAGGTCCCTGCTGCGGGTCTAGAATCTGACTCGGCAAGATCTCCTTTGAGACCCATTATGTTTATGTCCAGCTGATATCGAACTTAAGTTTCTCAACTCCCACTCTACA